TATGGTCAGCCACACACTCTCTTAAAAAGAAGCTTATAAACTCCTACCATCTCAGTCTGGGAGCTCATAAAACCTCATAAAATATATAGTTACATATAATAACAAAAATAATATGAATAAAAATAAATGGAGAGTTTATAAGCTCATGAATGTTTCAAAGAGCCCATTAGCTCAGCTAAACACCAGCCTAGATGAAAAGATAATCAGATTTATCACGATTAACACTGTGACAAAAAATTAACCATCATTTTAGAAAGAAAGATTATATGTCGTACTTACATCAATGCCACGAACATGCAGGAAGAAGTACCGGTAAATTGCACCAGCTAGAATGTAACCTCCAAAGAGGCATAAGATTCTAGAACACCAAACGAGACAATAATAATGATTAAAATATTAATTTCCAAAGTACACAACAGTGAAAAGCTAAAATCAAAGTCATTACAGGATCATGAAGGTGCCAAATCCGAATCCGCTTCCTTTGGAGGATATAACCTTCGCACAACCCAACGGATGCTTCAACTCTGTGTTCTACAAAATAATAATCCATTGGAAATTAGGTTTGCACTGTACTAGCACAGGATACTTTTAATTAATAAAATATATCTTCAAATAAGCCCTATGAAATGAGATTGAAAGAAAGACATACATAATCACAAAACCCAACTTTCTCCAAGGTCCTCGGACCCTGCAAAACACAACGCGGGCAAAATAGTCAAAAATCATCTTGGTATGAGGAAACCCAAGTATATACGGAAGTGGAAGTAAAGGAGGAAATCGTACTTGGACTCCATTTGAATTACAAATGACTGACACAGAAAGTGAACAGTTATGCTTTGGGCCACTGTTAGTCACCTTGACAATGATACCTGCATGAGGACTCTTTTTATCTGCAACAAAACCAGACATTAGAAGGCAATGATGCAACTTTCAAAATAGTTTAACAACAGTGAAACATAATCATGATGGCCAAGTGGTGGCTGCCAATTAGGCAAATAAGTTTTTCTTCTTAAGCCCAATGAGAACAACATACCACGGATATCAATGAGTGTACTTGAAGGCTGACCAAGAGTGGTACAAACAGGATAGCCTGCACATTCATTTGTAACTAAAATGAGTAACTTCCTACAAATACACCCGTTTATAAGTTTTGGAATACGGCATGATATATGATCGAATCATTTCATTATTCATCAATCAGAAGAAATCCAGAGATGTTCAAATCAACTATTTGACATAACAGAACGCAATAATTCATGAATGCGTTACTGAGAGGCTTCCCCAAGAAAAATGTATTGAAGCTCTTTTGGGCAGAACAATGACATTATTTCAACATCCAGAGTCTTAAAAATTTTAAAAACAAAATGCACCTACAAGTAAAAATATCAATAAGCATATACCTCCATACTTGTTAGACACGAGTGCACTGCAACCCATACCACAATGTGATTGACCCCCACAGTCCTACATATACCAATTTGTGGAAGTCAGGAGTTAGTACCAATAGAGTGGTGCTCAGTTATAAAAACCAACTAGGTGAGGGGCATTGCGATTAAATGGCACATATAGGGTGAAAATAGTAATGATATTAACTAAGGTCCAAAAAGAAAAGGTAGAGATGATATGTTAGAGATCTCTATTTATTCTTTATCTTGATATGTTTATTCAAAATTAAATAGTAGGATTTGGGTCCATATGATTAGAATACTAATAAGGGTTGCAATATATGTCTGTTTAAGCATATTATCTGCTCAACTACATCGTTTGTTGAATAGCATTGGCAAGATTCATGATTCGTCACAACGAGAATATATGTTTCTTATTTATTTTTCGATTTAATAATATCAATTGTTATTTTCCTAGTTCATTTTACACTTGAGAAATGACTCTATTACTCATTGTAACAATTGCTAATAGAAATATTATGATACCCCAGTTTTTTCCAAGCTGACTTGAGTGAATCTCTAAAAAAAAAAAGCAATAATGAGCTAAGCGGGTTCATATTTTCCAGGAATATTGTGTTTGACCTCTCCCCTCTAGAACATGTACATGCAAATAATTTCATGTTCAAAGTGAAAACAATAATAGATTGCAATATTCAAAGCTAGAGGAGGCCACTACTTCTCGAAATTCCTCACCTTACAGTCGACACATAAAGGTATATCGTGGTTGAATATCATTGAACTGCAAAGCTGCTCCAAATCAACAAAGAAAATTTAGACACAACGTAAAACGAAATTAAGCTACCGATATGATAAAACTGGATACGTCTCAATAAACATAATGAACTGTGGGCCAAACATAATGCACACTTCACAAAAGGAAAAAGAAATGTAATATTGTAACCTGATAGAGCCAACCTGAAACCAAAGCACGGTCCCATTAACAGCCACTTTATAAAACCTGAATCCAAAAAAAAAAAAATATCACCAAAAAACACAAAAACAAAGAAAAACAAATAAGGGAAAATCAGACCAGTATTTGTACATTTACATAATGCCTTTCTCCATTATACACTAATCATACACTACATAATGCCAAGCATTCATAGCTCAAGCTTCAGTTCAGGCATTACTTCCTCTTTTCATACAACAGATTTTACATTCCAAACAACATGTAACCTCAAATAGACCAACGGATTGCATAACAACAAAAACCCAAAACAACGACACACACACACACACACACACATATAAAGATGCAAAAGATCCATAACTATTCAGTAAAAGGAAATTACCCATCTTCACTGAGAATGCCATACGGATACGTACGCACTGGAGAAGCCAAGCTGTATTGATAAACCTTGTTCCTGTCCTTGAAGCTGAGTTCACACAGCGGGGATACCAAGTTGGGGCTGACTCGGCGGAGAATCGTTAGAATCAACACCGGAAATAAAATTCGCGGGCTCAGATAAAGGCTTCTACAAGTTTTCATGTCTACTCCGAAAATCCCACACCCAAAATTTCTCGCCAAGCTCTGCTCATTTGCAGGAAAAAGCTAAATCGGTCATTTGATATCAAGAATTGGCACCTGAAAATTACTTTGGTGGGAAGTCCACGAGATGGAGGCCAGATGAAATAAATAAGCCCAAATATTTCTTGGGCTTAATGTTTCACTTTAACATGGGTGAGAAGCCCAATACAATATTTGTCAATGGTTTCATTTTTTTAAAACCTTATTTTAAGAATATATTAGCCCGCTAACCCGTTCATGTTAATATAAATAATATTTTAACCTATATATATATATATATATATCTTTTAATACATAAAAACAATAATTTTACCTATTTTGGTTCATCATAATACTCAAATATTATTTTATTCAAAAATTTATTATCGTATAATGTCATTATTATTTACAAACACTTATAGAAGTAGTATTCTTTTTTTTATATAATGATAAATATTTATTGTATATTAATATTATTTATTGATGTAATTAATTTGAAAATATATAAGCAAATTTCATGTTTGTTAGGAATGTTATTATATGTAAGTTAAGATAAAATGGAATGTATCCAAGGAAATCTGCTTATGATATTGATGTATGCGTATGATAAAATTATAGTTGTTTAATTTATTAGTCAATATCCCCTTATATATAATTATGCTTTGAGTCTAAGTGGCAAATTCTCAGGCTTCGAGATCCTATTTGGCAAAAAATTATGTTTCAGAGTTAGACTTGGATATAACTTAAGTGGAAAATTCTCACGCTTCGGGATCCTATTTGGCAAAAAATTATGTTTCGGAGTTAGGCTTGGATATTAATTAATATGTTTTATCCAAAATAATTAGGCTTGGATTTCATTTAATGTATATATTATTTCACACTAAATCCATGGTTGATTTTTTCCTTCTTTACTTCTACAATTAGTTACCATAAACTATTTTAGTAATTTAACATATATCTCGAGCCGCTCGACAATGCAAAAAATGGGCTAACGCTCGAATCGAGTTCGGTCAAACTCGTGCTCGAGTAAAAAAAACTCGAGCTCGAGTTGAGCTTTGATTCGAGCACTCGCGAGCGGCTCTCGTTTACAGCCGTCTAAAAGTACTTCTACATGTAGAAAGACTTCTAGAATTTTTTTAGGCCAAATAGGTTTTTGTGCCATATAACAATAAAATGAGACAATCCAAATACCATTGAAAATGCTCTTATTGGTTAGGTTACAAAACCAAACTCACCCCTACTTTTAATGCCATGTGGGTCCCATTAGCCAATCACATGGATCCAAATTAACGCCGCGATGCCCTTAGAACACCCACAATGTTTTGGGTCTCTTAAAAAAAATCAAGTGTCATGTAGGAAATAGACTTAGTGTATAGAAAAATGTATTTCAATGCAATAAAAAATAGACATAGTCTGGCTTATGTGATACTAGAAAAACTCATTTCCTATTCACCGCC